CATTTGTCCTCCCGGTCTCCTTTTGTCCTTTTACTTACAGAGGCAGCTAAAGATTCTCTGGATCCCTATTGAGTTAGAATTGCTCTGAAGGTATTCGTCCAATAAACACTGTCAGCTGTGTACCGGGCACTGTTAGTGCTGTGAACACATTGAATGAGCTCAACGCGGGGGTCTCTTCCATGGAGCTGACATGACAGAGGTCTCTTTGGAAGTGACAACAAATTAAGGAAATGCCAGCTAGTGGTAAATTCTAGGGTGAATATTTAGAAGACTAGCATGCTGGAAGGGGCTAGAGACTAATTAATGTTGAGTAATCGTGGAGAAAGCTTTCTCTGAGGAGGTAACATTAAATTGAGACCTGAGCGATTAAAACAAAACGAAACTCCTTCCAGATAAGGATTTAGGCTGATTAAGTTAGGTGAGGTCAAGGGAACAAAGAGCACCCCAAATGTCAATGTTATCTTACCTGGCATGTAGTCCAAGCCAGGTAACCTACTTGGCAGGCACCTCTTTTGTACAATGATTCAGGGAACCAGGCTCTTTAGACCTTATAACCCTGCCAGCCTCTTTGTTTCTCGCTAGTTGGTGGGGAAGAAATATTGAGAAGGAACGTCCACCTACTAAGTGGTGGCAACGAATTCGTTCACTTCCGTTTCATGGAGTAAACTCAATCATGTGACGATAGTCAGTGTGGACCTCAACAAACTCTAGCTAGCCTTGGGAAGAATGGAATCCCAGAGCACTACCTTGTGCTCATTTGGAACCTGTGCGTGGATGAAGAGGCAGTTGTGCGAACAGCAAGGGCACACGGCATGGTTTAAAATCAGGAAAGGCGTGCGTCAGGGTTGCATCCTCTCACCGTACTCCCTCAACATGCATGCTGAGCAAATCATCAGAGAAGCTGGGTTCGATGGAGAAGAAAGCGGCATCAGGACTGGAGGACGGCTTATGACCCACCTGTGATGTGCAGATGACACCACCTTGCTGGCTGACAGTGAGGAGGCTGGGCTGGTGCCTTTCTCTTGAGTCCTTTTTCTTTGTATGGTTTGTTCAACTTCATTTGAGTATATTTCAAAATATGGATGAACAAGTAATATATGGGGAAGCATGAGCTGTCAAATTAACTCAAAATGAGATTGAAAGCCAACACATAGTTGTAAACATGAAAACAAGTTTTAAAACGTATGAAGGAAATGTCTTTCAGAACAGCACAAGCCCAAAGAGATACTTAGATTTGTTTTCAAACTTTTAAAAACCAAGTCATTCAGATCTTGCTTGAATTGTGCAATACGTAATTTTTTAAGTTACTGATGATTTTTTAAATAAAATAGAGCTCTGATTTATAATTAGTCCTTCTATCATCCCCTTTTCAGGTGGACATCACATAGCCTCACAAGCATGATGGCTGAGGAACTATTTACTCCCTCCTCTGCAGGGTCTGAGGGGAAAAGGAAGACGCTTGGAGATGGATTGACATAGGGGCTGCATCCATGGGCCCAGAGATAGCAATGATGAGCCCACGAGGCAGGGTGTTGGCCTGTTATACAGAGGGTCCCTGTGAGCTAGAATCAAGTCAACAGCATCTACCACCTCCGGAAGCAGAAATATATTTTCCTTGAGTTGAGGGTGAAGGGGGTAGACTGTTAAACCCTAAGCCATGACCCACTCCTTTTTCCCCCCCTTTACAATACTCTCTGATCACTTTTTAGGGACATAGCAGGATCCCCGCTCTGTTTTCCTCCTGAGGCAGAAGCAATGTTTAGAAAGAAGAGTGGAGAGTCGGAGCCCCGGGCTCTGTTCCTGCCTGCCTTTCCAGGTCTTCACTCTTTGGACGGAGCTGAGCAGTATGAGATGTGGGTAAAGACAATACTGGGGGAAACGAGAACAAAACTGTCCTTCCTGTGTCGCTAATTTGGAAAAGAAGGCCGAGGAGGGGCTTGCCTGAGGCCTCCCATGAGTCAGAGGAGGCTCTGCACTACAGATGCCTTTTGACTCAGCGTCTCGTGTGCTTTCCACATGATCAGCAGTCTTATGCAATAAATAAATGAGCTTCAATTTTGAGTCTAAATGACTCCTAGCGACAGGATTGCTAGGCATCCTGTGTTTTCCAGGGTTACTGTGCTGTGGACAGGCAGATGAATTCCATATTGAGCACTGGACACGGTGTAATTATCTGCACATGCACACACACACTGGGCCCCATGCCCTCCCCTGTAAGAAGTCTTGTTAGAAAGACAACGTTCCTCTCCTGTCCCATCCACTCCCATGTCGATGCAAACCTTAGACATTTGACAGGCCACCTGTTTGTTCCTCCTGAGTGTTGTGAACAGGTGAATGTCCCCATCCCCCCAATCGATGGGACTGAAAGCAATATGGCAGCCATATCATGCCTTCTTACGCCACAGACAGGTGGTGCTGGTGTTGGTTCTGTGCCAGGGCCCCCATGGTTCTGAAGTTTGAACCACTTGTCACAGCCGCTGTGTTAACCCATCCTGACGAGGGCTTTCCTCTGTTCACTGCCCAAGTCTGATGCTTTTTTCTAGAAACTGTTCGCTCTCCTGACAACATGTCCAAAGTATGTGAGACCAAGCTTTGCCATCCTTGCCTGTAAGGACTGTTCTGGGTGCACTTCTTCTAAGACACATTTGTTGGTTCTTTTGGCAGGCCATGGCACTTCCAATATTCATCACCAGCACCATACTCCAAATGCGTCCATTCTTTTTGGTCTTCCTTATTCAACGTCCAACTTCCCTATGCATAGGAAGTGAGTGAAAATATCAAGGCCTGGGTCAGGTACACCCTAGTCCTCAAAGTACCATCTTGCTTTGCAACCCTTTAAAGAGGCTTGTGCAGCATCTTTAGCCCATGCAATGTGGCCTTTGCTCTCTTGACTGCTGCTTCCATGAGCACTGATAGTGAATCCGAACAAGATGAACTCCTCGACAGCTGCAATGCTCTCTCCATTTGTCATGACGTCACCTATGGGTCCGGTGGTGAGGATTTTGGTCTGCTTTATATTGACTTGTAATCCATACTGAAGGCTGCAATCCTTGATCTTCATCAGTGGGGCTTCAAGTCAGACCAGGTAGATGCCCAGATATACAGCCAAGCAATGACAACACCTGTTGAAGCCACCATGTGCCCAAGTTATAAGCAGCCATTGGTAGGAAGGTGGCACGCAGCAGAAGATGGTACCTAGCAGAATAGAGCTTGCTTTTCAGCAGCAGGGAAAGACCCCAAAGTTCTTTGGTTCAACTCTGAGCAGAATATGGATTTGTGTGAACTGGAGCCATGTCAGGCAGGTTGGGGCCTGTAGGCACCCTTGCTTGGGTGGAGAGGGAGGGAGTGCACCAAGGCAATTAGACTAGTCAGCTTTCCTCCTACTGGCCACAAACACCTTTGGCCAGCGGGCGATTTCTCTCCTCCTTCAAAGTTCATATATCTTCTGCCTTCAGCCTTTTCTCTAACCTGTCCAATGACATTCCCCTGCCCTCTGCTCAGCTACACACACACCTGTCCTTTGAATTGATTCTCACTCATTGTAACCCCATAAAGTCCGTCTCTTACTTTCCTGAACTTCATACAAATTAAAAAAAAAATGTGCTGGGTTCTAGTTTTAGTTGCTATAGAAACCTTGCTGCTTCTTCTTAGGAGACCAAACCATTATGGGATCACCTTTTAGAACCAAACTAAACCAAGTTCCCTGCTGTTGAGTTGACGCTGACTCATAGTGGGCCTATAGGGCAGGGTAGAACCGCCCCTGTGAGTTTGCGAGACTTTAACTCTTCACAGGAGTAAATAAATACCCATGTCTTTCTCCCGTGGAGCAGCTGGTGATTTTGAAATGCCAACCTTGTGAATGGCAGTCCAATGTGTAACCATTACACCACCAGTCTTTGGCCTATAAAAAGGGATACAAATAATCTCTGGAGTAGGATTTTCTGGGGTGAAATCTTGGTATCTTGGCTCCACTACTTACACTATGATTTTAGGCAAATGGCTTAAACCTTTCCCTCGTCCCTCAGTGTCATCTGTACATGAATGGTCATGTAATATAGAGACAAATATATGTAAGTAAAGTATTTAGTTCAGTGTGTGGAATTTAGCTAAGATTTAATATTGTCATCATCATGAATACTAAGAATTCTTGTCCTAGGTGGTAATGGAATCACCAATCTCAGCTTTCAAATAATTATTGCTATTATTACATATTTCATGTTTATTGTTTGCATATTTATTTTATATTTTATTAGCACCATCTTATTATTAAGAATATTATTATTATTATTGCCCTAGGTGGTAATAGTATGCACTAATCCAAGCTTTATTATTATTATTATTTTTACTAATCTCAGCTTTCAAAGAATTCTTCTGCTTTCTTTTCAGGAGGTTTTGTCCCCTTATCCAAATCACATCAGAACAAAATTTAAAAAACTAGCACCATCTGGACTCTCTGTTTGGGAGATGGAGGGATGAGGAGGATATTTGGGGGCAGGGGCGGGGGGCGTGCATGTTGGATGAGCTTGTCAAATAAGGTTTCTGAAGCAGTGCTGGGGTGACTGGGTCTGGTGTGTCTAAGGATAAAGAGGGGGAGAACAGGGTGCATCTTGCAGCACACCGCCAAGGACTCAAGGGTGTGTGGGGACCAAGTCCACTAGCAGGTAGGCGTGGGCGAACGCCAGCGATGGATTTGAGACGGTGAATCTGGAGGTACAGGCGGCTGTTAGGGTGGGTTTCAAGGGCCGTTTGAAGACCCTTGAAACGTGGCGCTGCAGACGTGAGGTGACGGCAGGAGGGGGAGGAAGGGGCGCTGGGACTGCGGCTGAAGGGGGGTGTTTGGGAGGCCGGAGGACCCGAGGCGGGAGACGGTGAGAGGACTTGCGTGGGGGGCCGGTCCCGGGCGAGGCGGGGACGCCAGGCCCGGCCCTCCGGGTGGGACAAGGCCAGGCCCGGGGTCTCGGGGGGCCGAGGGACTAGAGGCAGCGACTTTGCAGGCGGGCATGGCCGGGCTCTGCGGCTTCGGGGCCGCCGTCGGGGAAGCGGGCGGTCTCGGCGGGGTGCGCGGAGGGTCCCCTGAGGCTTGGGCAAGGCCGGGGACCGGGGCGAAGGGCCGGGCGGGTCTCCAGGGCCTCGGCCCGCAGGGCGAGCGCAGGGGCTGTCGGGGCCCGGCAGTGAGTACGGGCC